ATATAATTAACACAAATGAGCATGTTTTTTCCATTTAAAATTTAATATTTTTATTTCTTTTTTTAGATTTAACTTAATTTAATTTTTGTGTGTGTTCCAAAATTCATTGTTTATGAAGAGTTAGGATAAACTGTCAGCTTATTTCTTTCTCATAATAGTGTATTAGCAGATAATGATTGAAATAAAAGCAATGCTTAGCAAATGGTCTTGTGGTTTTAGTATTTTCAATCACATTTTTCCCTCCACAGCTTTAGCAAGACTGTTTAGAAGAATTTTGTGCTGGGCACGTGGGTTGTTCAGTGGTTAAGCATCTACCTTTGGCTCAAGGCATGATCCCAGGGTCCTGGGATCAAGTCCTGCTTCAGGCGTCCTGATCAGCAGGGAGTCTGCTTCTCCTTCTTCCCCTCCCCCTGACTTGAGCTCTCTTTCTCTCTCAAATAAATAAATAAAACCTTTAAAACAAGAAACATTTTGTGTTGATGGAACATTTTCCAAAGTGTATATTTTTTGTTCTCTTTCGATTTTTTTGGGTCCATAGTTTCAAGTGAAGATATATATGATAGTTCTACTAAAACATAGCATGTATGACCTCTTTAAATGAAATAACATGTATCTATTATTGCCAAATAACGTTGCATACCAAACACTCTCAAAATCATGGTGACTTATGACAAGAATCATTCATGTCTCACCCAGGCATTTGGGGGGTTGGCTGGACTCAGCAGGACTCGACTCCATGACACCGATTGGGTTTAAATCTGTACCAGGCACCCTTGGACCAGTGAACTTTCTGAAGCATAGTCTTCTTGTGGTGATGGCAGGAGTCAAAGAGAAGCAAACCCAGCCATGCCAGCACATTTGAAGCCTTAGCATGTGTCACAGGCACTTTTATCCTGTTGGTTAGAGCAAGATACATGGCAAAGACCAAATTCAAATGGGAAAATATACTCCTACCACCATTAAGCCAAGGTGAAGGTGTCAATATTGAATGTGACTGCAAGGGATGGAACTGAGTTTGTATCACACCGCCATTCATTTATCTGCAAACCTATATGCTTAGTTAGAAATGGCTTGCACTAGAGTGATAGAATTGTAGATAACTGTTTTTTTAAATTTTTCTGTTTGTTTGCTTTTTAATTATTCCTTGTTTGCTTTCTTTTGGGAGGTTATTTCCAAAATGCTGCAGTAAATGCATCTGAACTTTTTAAAGATTTATTTGAGAGAGGGAGCGAGAGCTTGGAAGGAGCAGAGGCAGAGGGAGAGGGAGAGAAAGAATTCCGAGCAGACTCCCCACCTGAGTGCAGAGCCTGACCTGGGGGCTTCATCTTATGACCCTGAGATCATGACCTGAGCAGAAATCAAGAGTCAACACAGAACCGACTGAGCCACCGAGGTGCCCCAGCATCTATAATTAAAACAAAACAAAACAAAACAGCTTTATTGAGATGTAATTCAGATGACAAAAAAAAACCCCAAAAAACTACTCTTCAAAACGTATAATTCAGTGATTTTTAGATAATCCCACAACTATCACCACTGTCTAATTTCAGAATCTTTTTATCACTCCAAGAAGAAACCCGGAGTCCATCTGTAGTCACTGCCAATTTATCCCCCTCTTCCAGCCCCTGACAAATACAAATACACTATCCTTCTCTAAGGATTTTCTATCCTGAATGTTTCATATAAATGGAATTATATACTATGTAGCCTTTTGTGAACCGCTTCCTTTACTTAACATTGTTTTCCAGGGTTCACCCATATTATAGCAAGTGTCAGTACTTTATTCCATTTTATTGCCTAATACTATTCAATTGTATGAATATACCACACATCTTAGTTGGTGATTTCTATTTTTTGACTATTATGAAAAATACTTTTATGTCCTTTTGTGTGCAGGATTTTCAGTTTTCTTGAGTATATGCCTAGGAGTGAAATACTGATTCCTGTGTTAATTCTATGTTTACCCCTTTAAAGACCTGTATAGCTGTTTTCCTGCATGGCCACAATTTATAAAGTTTCTAATTTTTCTACATCCTCACCAACATTGATTATTGGTATCTTTTTCATTCTAGATGTCCTGGTAGTTGTATTTCATTGTGATTTTGATTTGCATTTCCCTAATGACTAATGGCCTTGGCTATCTTCTTATGTGCTTATTGGCAATTTGTATGCTTTTCTTTTCTTTCTTTTTTTTTTTTTTTTTAGGAATCTGTATTCAAGTCCTTTGCTCATCTTTCCATTGAATTTTCTTTTTATTGTTGTTGTAAGAGTTTGTTTGCATATTCTAGAGAAAGACCCTAGCCAAATATATGAATTGCAAACATTTTCTCTTAAGATATAGGTAATCTTTTATTTTTATTGTGTCCTTTGAAGCACAAAAGTTTTAATTTTGATGATGTTCACTTCATTTTTTTCTTTTTTGGCTTGTGCTTTTGGTGTCCTATCTGAGAAAAGACTGCCAAATCTAAAGCCATCACAATTTTTTTTTCTGTATATCTGAGTTTCATAGTTTTGTCTCTGACATTTAGATCTTTGATTCATTGAGCTAACTTTTTGTATATGGTGTGAGGTAAAGTCCAAATTCATTATTTTACGTGTGGATCTCCAGTTCTCCTGGCACATTTGTTGAAAATACTCTTTCACCATTGCATTCTCTTGACATCCTTGTCAAAATCAATTAACCACAAATGTGAAGGTTTGTTTCTCGATTCTCAGTTCCATTCCATTGCTCCATAAATCTAAACTTACTACATTTACCACAGCATTCCTATAGCTTTGCAGTAAATTTTGAAATCAGGAAGTGTGAGTCCTCCAACTATGTGGTTGTTTTTCAAGATTTTTTCACTATTTTGAGTGCCTTGCACTTCCAAGTGAATTTTAGGATCAGATTTCCAATTTCTGTAAAAAAGGTGGTTGGGATTGCATATGTAAATTTTACAAAATGATAGTTATTAATCTTAAAATAAACTTCCTGCCAAAGTACTAGATCTCTTCCTTAAACTAACCTAGATGTATAGTGAGTAAAACTCACTGTAAGGGACTTGGCAGTTTTGAAAGAAATTGGATTTGGGGTGGGTGGCTGTGCCAATTGCTTTCTGAGGTAGAGTACAAAAGCATGTAATTAACATTTTGACAGAGAGGAGAGGGAGTTATTGAAATAGGTAAGTGCAGGAACAGTGCTTCAAAAAGAGAACACAGCTAGCAAATGCAGAGATATTGGCGTTTACAGGAAACTGTGAGTATTCGCTAGAATTGCACATGGGGTTTGATGATGAAAAAAGAGTCAAAGGAGGTAAATGAGGTAGACTTTGAATCATCAATTGCTGATGTTTGTATTTCACATCCTAAAGACTTTTAAATTCTGACTCACAAAAATTAATCATACTATAGGATGTCTCCAAAATATGAATAATACATAAATGAATTATTAAATGTCCTTAACTTGAATAAAAGTGATAACTGAGATACGATTGGTAGAAAACTCATTAACTGGAAAACCAAACATGTAGTTTCAAGGAAAATCATTATGTCACTTCAAGAGATAAAGGATGTTCTTGTCTGCGTGCTGTAATCATGGGGACAGGTGCCCCAACAAAACCAGTAGACTGGATTGATTACAACTCCTATGTACTAATTCTTTCATCTGTAAGCGATATTTAGAATCTTGAGGGTCTTGATGTCATATTCACTGCTGTATCTAAAAAAAAAAAAAATCATTTGTTCATTAAACCAGGAGTCTGAGAAACCAAGAGGGGGGCAGGTAATTATAGTCAATAGGATAATATGTATAATTGCAATATTCCTGAAGCATAGGGGAAATGGCTTAATTCTAGTGGAAGTCAAGGAAAAAAAGCTTTGCTGAGGAGTGGCATTTGAGCTGAGATTTGAGAAGAAGCTAATGAGATAGGCAAGTACAGGAACAATGAGAAAGCACAGTGTGAGCCAGCACTGAGATGCGGGCAAGTATTGATACTGTCATGAAACTGTTAGGTGTATTCGTTCACTGGAGCTCTATGTTAGGCTTGATGGTGCAAAATGAGCAGAAACAATGAGATTATAATAAACTCTGAGTGCCATGCGAAGAATTACAATTTAATCTCACAGAGTTCAATTGTAAATTTCCACCCCAGTGATATAATCAGATTTGTTGGAAAGTGCCCCCCACTTCCCACCGCCCGTTCGTGGTGTGAAGGGTGGATCAGAAGGGAGTGAGACCAGGGGCCAGAAAACTGGGGAAAGGAGAGTGAGCAGCAGAATGGCACTGAGCCATGCAGCTCTAGATCAGGGCAGACGCAGCAGAAATGGAAACAGAGATGTGGAGACACAAACAAAGCAGAGTTTTGGAAAGGTAAAGCCAATGGGACTTGATTGATTACGTATGAAGAATGAAGGAAAAATAAGATGTAAAGCAAGAGATTGATTATATTTTCAGGTTTTTTACTTCTTATGAATGTAAAGGATAGTGATTATTTATAACTTTAAATGCATTTATAATATATAATTAAAATAGATTAAAATGTCAGAATCTTCTTGGAAATAAGGATATTTCATTATATTGAATACATGATGTTAAGTGCAACTTGTATTTTTTGCCTTTCCTTAGACCAAATCACAAGCTTAAGTAAATGCCCTGGAGAGAGGGAGGCACTGAGAATAACAAAATCAAGCCAGGGTATTTTCCCAGTGTAAATTCTCATTACTTTGCCATTTGCACCTTTCCAAAGTGCATACCCCCACTGCTCGATGAGAAAGGGAATGAGACATAGAAAATGAAAACTGTAGACATGAAAGCCTGCCTTGTGCCAATTAAGGTTTGGTCTTTATTTCAAAAACCACAGGGTGGCAAAACAGTCCATCACAAGGGACAAAGGGCGCAAATCAAAGATACCACATAGAACACAGTGGTGGTCAATATGGACAATATTTTTTTGGGATTCTGAAAAACTATGGTCACCTGTGCCATTAAAACCTGGGCTGACTTTTTTTTTTTTTTTTTTTTTTTTTAAGTCAAATATACAACAAGGTCTATGTGTGAATAAGCATAAAGCTGTGAGCCCTCACGCTCTTCCTGCTCACTGGCGCCAGCATGTGGGGCTACCTTCACAGAGCAATTTGTTTTGGCTTTTAACATTTTAAGTAAGCAACAAATAAATACTCAAAAAGAAGAGGGAAAGGGGTTTCGTTCCATGGCTGGAGGCGCCGCATCACGCAGTTACACGGGTCATTTACGGCCAGATTTAGTAGAGTCTCTGCTATGCTAATGCGAGTTGTAAACCACCAAGACACTGCGCTGGGTTTTCAGTGGAGCTCAGTGGAGCTACGTCCAGTATGCCTCTGCAGGGCTGGGACAGAACCATGAAAAGGTGAGTCAGTAAGACGGCATGTGTATACGTATTTATTTGTTCCCCAGGTGGCTGGGCGCAGGGTAGGACGGCTGGGTGGGAAAATGCCCAGAAAGGGGACTGCCCAGACTTGGAGGAGGAGTCTGAAGGCAGCAGGGCCCTGGGCCCCAGCCTTCTGGGCCAGGCAGAAAGGCAGAGGTTAACACACAAGCCTTGAATGGAAATCCACCCTGAAGGTGAGCAGCCACACCCTTGAAGCGGGCTATGGAAGGTACGTTTAGTCTGTGTGCCCAATCAATTCATGCTCATCCTGCTTAATATCGACCACTGAAAATGAAGATGGGGGGAAGTTACAAGATTTTTTTTTTTTTTTTCGGTTTCATACTGCCATATAATCGATCGCTAAGCATTTCATAGAATCTCATGAACCTTACAAGTCAGGTGCAATTTAATTTACCAGATACCAGCGAGAAAAAGAAAACCACTCCAAAACACCAGAACAAGGGACAGGGAAACCTGGGCGCTTTTCTACCTGTCTTTTGAACTGACACAGACTCTTGCATGATGGAAATCACGGTTAACACGAAACTCGATCTCTTTCCCGGTCTTGGAGCTCAAGAGATAAATCTTGGGCGCTCATGCCTGCGCATGCGCACACATACACACACGCTGTTTCTCCCCAAAATAGCCACATTTTTTTAAATTTGGTGATTCAATACATTTTTAATTCAAATAGTCACTGCATAACCTAGGCACAATATTAAGCATTGTACAAGCAAAGTATTTTACTGATTTTCATTTCAATTGCCAGAGAGTACAATAAGTGAATGGGTTAAAGGATATACTTCTGTACATAAAAATATCCATGTATTTATACAAGGGTATGGAACAGAGTTTAAAGATAATAAAACCAGACCATCACAATAAATAGGATGTGTTCCTACAGGACAGCAGGGTATGCTTAATCAGTGAGCTGTCCAGTCTCTTTTCAAGGTGCTTTTTTTCTTCTGAGCTAGGCTCACACTTCCCAAAGGAAGGGCTAAGGTTTAGTCACGCCTGGATCTGAATGCCTATGTTTGTATGTTGCTTTTTATTTGCATTTCCAATAACAGGGGTAGAAGATATGATCATTTATTTTCAAAAAGTCTTTGTGACTTATCAAATTCTATTGATTTCCCACTTCAGTATTTTAAAATGCAGATTAATATAAGCTCTAGCACCGTATGAGAATGAAATACATGTATTTTTGTCAGAGCAACAATATTTTATATCATCTTTGCTCCTCTGGCTATAACAATTCTGTTTAGAAAAATTTACCACGCTAAAAATAGTTGATCTAGGTTGTCATAAAAAAGAATATTAAATACCTTTGGTAAAAATAGATATATTTAACAAGATTAGAAAAGCAAACAGTTATAATGTCAAAAGGAGAATATAAAAATGTACACAATAAAACAAATAAACCGACTTATAGATAAAGTGAAGATAAGGCCACTCTTCTTTTCAGGTTTGTCTCTTCCAAACCATGAATGTAGTTCTCTTCTTCTAAATGGTAGCAATTTTAGTAAGAAATATGGAAAATCCAGTCTTTCCTATCAGCATGACACAAGTTTGATTCATAGCAACAGAGTTCTTTTTTAAGAACAAAGTTTGTAGAACATAGAACACTCTGGTTTATATATGTGGATCTAAGGAAACAATTCCAGGTTTCTGCGATTTGAGGCCCAGAACATGGAGCTTGAGAGTTAAGCAAGGCAACAGAATCAGCCACTCCCGTGTGCACAGTTCTTTCCTGTACTGACATTAGCCTATGCCTGGGGAGACAGCTGATAAACAACACAGCTAGCTGAGTAAGGACATGGCAACTTTGTAACTAGCTAGTGATGGACAACATTTCATTTTGTTTCTGCGACCAAAGACCTTTTTCCTGTCTTTCCGGCCTCCTCTCAACAGAGCTGTTGCACAACTTCCAATTCCGTTTGGTGTCTCCTCTTTCGGAACACTCCGTAAATCCTGAAGATGAAAGGTCCCTGAAGCAAACAACTGAGATTATGGATGGGAGATAATGCTCAAGTTCTAGAACAGATGAGCCACGGAGCCGCACTGCTCTGGGAGAGGCTGCGCCGGCGGACGCGGTTATCCTCCTGTGTGCCCTCTGCACACACAGTCACACTCCTCGTGGTGCTCCAGGGCCACGTCTGTGAGAGATTTATGCAATCCCCGCACACCGCTCTTTGGTCGCAACTGAAGGACCTGAAAGGGAACAACGGAGAAGTCATCTATAAAAGCAGCCAACGTCTGTGACTTCGGATTTCATGGGCAAGTAACATTTCAGGAAAGCATCTTGGGGCCCAACGAAGACTTGAACAAAATTTTGACTTTTTCCTAGTGAAGGCATCATGAACACGCTCTCCTACCCCTCAGAGAAATCCTAAATGATCAGCATGCTTTCACAAAAGAAAGGCCCTTTTAATACCAGCCACTTGGAAGGATGCTGCCTCTGCACAGAGAACAGTCCTTAGGTTGAAAGTCTCACTGTGTGCTCTTTAGTTTACTCCCCTGACAATACTACAGAGAATGTCACCTTGATTAAGTATTCGGAAACCACGACTTCCCAGTCTTTTTTCTGCTTGTTGGTTTCTTTCACTCATTCCTTTTTTCACACATGTAACAAATATTTATATTCCAAGCGATACAAATACTACCATACTGCGGAAGGAAACACGATCAGCTACAGCTGAGTTTGCTCCATTATGCCACTCATTAATTTTCTTGGCTACACTTCAAGTCCTCCATAAACTTGATGCGACGGATTAGATGTACTTCATAGACATCAGCCTCCATCCCAGCTAACTTTGGGCAGCTGGATCCTACTGCCTACTGTAGGGAAGGCTGAGCTTTAATAATAATGATGCCTCTATTAAATGAAGTTAATGTGCAGTCTGGCTTTTTAATAAAAACATAAAGTTGACTCCGATACTAAAGATATTTCTTTTTAACACTGTGGCAGGAGGACACAGCTACGGATTCTATAAAAGATTATCTGAAGTATTTGGTAAGAACTACCTATTCAATGTGTTTGTGCTTCTTAGAATAGAAAGAATAACATTTCGGGAATTGTGTTTTTCAGAATATGAACGAAGACCAGAGCACATAATAGTACGAGGTGGTCTAATTTCTCTGCTCTCTGGGTGGGACAAAGATAACTTCATAGAACACCTTCTAAAGGATACCCTTCTCGGAAATATTCGTTAATCCACAAGTCAAGTCTTATGACTGTTCCATTTGAAGATTTAAAAGAGAAAAGTAGAGAATGTATACAGCATTTAGAGTATGTGGTCATATCAAAGGTTAATCAGCTAACATTTTTTGAATGCTTACTGGGTGCCAGGCACTGTAATAATGTTTTTACATACTTTAACTCACAAGAATTCTATGAAGTAATTTAGAATTATTACTCCTAATTTACACATGAGTGAATAGAAGCTTTAGAGAGAATAGGGACATAACCAGTATTTGCACTTGGGCCAAAGATGAATTATTAAAGTTACAGTGATAATAACTTTATAAAAACTCAGACTATATTATTAGCCATATATTCTACTTCTTTAGTAACTTTCTTCCTAGAGACCTAAACTGCAAAGTCTTGGACTAACCGTGAGAAACAGGAAACTTTTAAAGCAGATTTTCTATTACACTCACAATTCTAGAACAAAAATTACTAAGAATGTATTATCTTAGCATGAAACTATGAATCCTATCTTAGATGTCAGTACCTGACTTACTGTTTTGAACAACTTGAGGTGGCATCAAAACTAGCTAGTCTTTAGATACTGGTGCTATCCCTTATCAAACTTCTGTTAGAAATTGTTTCTGGAATGAGGCTGAGTGCAGATAAACTGCAATATTGGCATAGCCAACGTCTTTAATTCCTATCCCCACTTGTGTACATTTTCCTAGTTAGTAGGGGAGAAAATGACTATAAAAGGTAAGGGTTAGAGAAGCTACCATATACAGTCCTAACAGGCAGCCATGCCAGGCTACGATTCTATAATCGTCCTCTCCTCTAGAAATGCTTGAGTCAGGATGCAAGCACCCAATAAAAGCACCCCACCCCAGCCTTCATCCACTGATCGTTGTGGAATTTACAAATAGCAGAAGAATCTCATAATGTTCTAGTGATACTAAATCTTAGATGAGACATTCTAATACATGGGAGGGAGCTTAATTAGGGCTTTCCTTCTTAATTTCTTTCCAAAATTTTGTTTTAATTTGGGAAGAGAAAGACAGACTTGGAAAATGACCAACAGGTCCCAGATCATGTGAAAGTAGACCGTTTTCAGTATATAGTTTATGATTCCATAAAACAAAGAAGCCAGAAGCACATTTCATCCAACTTTGAAAGAGAGGTTCAAACTAAAATTACAAACCCATGAAAAAAATAATCCAGGGAAAAACTAAAATCAGGGATGGAAGAGATTAGATCAGGTATAGAAAGAACCATCAAGAAATAAGATCAATAAATGATCTATTATTTCTATTTCTGCCTACACTGCACAAAGTGTCATTAAATTTGGGGTGTGACAGAACTTTGGGAGATGGGCCTCACTACTAGAGAAAGGTCACTGAGATATATATTTTTTACCCAAAACAAATCCATGCAAGAAAAGTAAGACCATAGGGGGAATGAAGATGAACGAGAGAACAGCTAACATGTATCAACAGCTTGAAATGTACCAGACCTGGTTCTAAGTGTTTTGTCAGCTCTCTGAACCCTCACAATAGGATAGGAGGGTTAGGTGTTCACTTTAAACACAAAGGTATGGGAGGCACAGGAGATAAAGTCATTTGCCCAAAGTTAAACAGCTGGATGTCTGGCTTTGGAGTCTGTTTTCGTAAGCACTAAACTGTAATGTGATCTTTGCTTCTTAGTTCTCAATTTGGTAAAAAATAAAAATAAATAATAATTATGAAGTAACAACAATTGTCTCATGGAGAGATCTCTCAACTTCTACACAGGCACAGAAGGTGGACTGGAAGGAAAGTAGGAAATGTTTTAAGGAAGAGGTAACACCTAAGTTCATTTATATGTAAAGTCTTGCTTTCGGAAATATCCTATCTGGGAAACAGAAAAATCATTAAGGAAATCTGGGTGGGAGGGCATGGTTTTCAATAAACAGTGTCTAGTAATCAATACAAAAGCAATAAGAATCTTGTCAACAGTAAGATTATGCGATAATATCAAAACATGTAACAAGAATATCATCCTATATATTATGAACCTTTTAATTTGCTAGACTTATTTTCGGTACAGTGGTTGAACCCACTGAAAATGGTAAAGGAACCAAAACAATAACCGTAATATCTGTAGTAACACAAGGAATCTAATTCAGCTTAATAATTAGGGAAGCTGGTATAATAGAGATAGATGAAGTAGAGAAAAATTAGAACGTCTAAACTCTGTCTTTGTTTTTGTGTTCTCCCTGAGGTAGAATAATCTTTAAACTGAAAACTGGAACAACAGTCATCAAAAAGAACTAGGGCCCCAAATAGGCTTCACTTTAAATGAGTTTAGTCTTTAGTCTTTAGTCTTTACCACATTAATGGTACTCAGTGACTTAATGATTTTAGAACTATTTGAAATTGTTTTAAAAAAAATTTCATTTTTTTTTTAAGAGTTTATTTATTTATTTGACAGGGAGAGAGTGAGCTAGAGAAAGCCCACCAGAAAGCACAGGTTGAGGGACAGGAGAGGCAGAAGAAGAAGCACATTCCCCACTGAGGAGTAGGGAGACTGACAAGGGACTTGATCTCTGAAATCACGACCTGAGCCTAAGGCAGACACTTAACTGCCTGAGCTACTCAGGTGCCCCCAAATAATTTCATTTATTTAGAAGCAGTAGTACTAAACTCACAACTTACCTCCAAAACATCAGACTGAGAAAAATCTAGGCTTCAGAAATGATCAATTACACCAAACAGATAAAAGCCCTTTTTTTTTATAAGGTAATTTATTAATAAAAACCTATCACAGAAAAATTAATGATTCCTACAAAGCATTATAAAAAATTAAGACATGATTGTTACCGGGAGGTATCTGTGAGAAATGTGGAGTATTGTATTTCCCCACACACATGCATTAGAGATATCTGTGGGAAACTTGTCTTAGGTGGTCACACCATTAGGTAACCATCCATACTTGTCTGTGTGTACGTACAGATAATGCATACATAACCGTCCCACCCAAAGACTACAGAATAAGGAATGATGTCATTCTGGAAGAGGGCCAGTGAGTTTCACAAGCACTGCCCACAGTCTTTCCTCACACAAGAGTTTTATCTGAGCCGCTAAACAGATGCCACACACTTTGTGGCAACTTTCTTAACAACCCTAAAACCAATGTTATTTGAAATGAAATCTTTAAGTAGAGGAGAGATGACGATCCACTCGACTTGAGGACTGAGTGAGCTGACCAAAAACACGATGGAGGCTCGGCATCTGATAAGCTGGTTTAAAAAAGCTACTCTGACTAGTCTGGGTTTTATAGCTCTAAGATAGTGACTATAAATCAAGCGTTGTTGGCTACTTCCGGGTCCCGGGATACACTGTATTTAATGGGGATATGTTTCAGAAAGTCCACAATTAGACGATTTCAGGTGAGGAAAGTTCACTCTCGTTTAATTTCTGTTTTCATCGCAGCCTCTCTAGTCACCAATCAGTTCTAATGCCTGCCTCGATTTTAAGGCATTTTATTGAGTCTGTTTGGCACTTCCATATTAGGGGTTTTTCCTTGACTCTAAGATTCCTGATTCATAGAGTAGCAGCAAGGCGGGCTTCTGAGCACAGCCTGGCTGAAGCAACCTGAGCCACCAAGCTGATGATCATCTCCTTCCTGAAAGGGGAGCAGAGATCATTCCCAGGACAGGATCTTTTTTTTTTTTTTTAAAGATTTTATTTATTTATTTGACAGAGAGAGATCACAAGTAGGCAGAGAGGCAGGCAGAGAGAGAGGAGGGAGCAGGCTCCCTGCTGAGCAGAGAGCCCGATGTGGGGCCCGATCCCAGGACCCTGAGATCATGACCTGAGCCGAAGGCAGAGGCTTTAACCCACTGAGCCACCCAGGCGCCCCCCAGGACAGGATCTTTAGAAGAACGGAATGCAGAAATGAAAGTAGGACATGAGTATTGGTGGTAAACAGTCCTTTTTTTTTTTTTTTTTTTTTTTTTTTTTTAAATTCACAGACTGCCAGTTTGGGATGTGACATTCCAAAAATGGCAATTGACTGATTGTCAGGGAATAACACAGCTGGGAAAAACCTAAGAGGTTATCGTATCTTACATTTATTTGAACAGAGGTTAAGTATCCTGCTGATGGTTACAAGTTAATGGTAGATCTAGGATGGAAACAGGGTTCCTTGCCAATTGGGATCCAGTGCTTCTGTCCCTCTTTATCAGCTGCCAGTGCAATACTGGTGAAAGGTAAGGGGGTTCCAGCCGTGCTATGTAAAGTGCACTTTTCATTTTATAGTCAACAAAGGTTCATTATGTCGTACTGTCCATTAAAGAGGTGCCATTGTGCAGCTGCCTGGGCAGCTTTAGTTTAGCTAACAGATAAGGGTTTTATTGATATCCTTATGCACATGAAAAATTATTTTATTAAGCAGATATTTATGTTGTATTACTCTTTGGGTTAGTGGAAAAAAATACAAAGTAACGAGATAAAGTTATACCGAGATGAAGTCAGAAGGGCCGATTTCACTGTAGTATAATGTAAACGTTTTGTGCAAATTAAGGTTACCTCTATAATCCCAGTGTTTTGGGATCAAGCCCCACATCGGGCTCCCTGCTCAGAGGGGAGTCTGCTTCCCCCCTCTCCCTCTGCCTGCTGCTCTGCCTACTTCTACTCTTTCTCTCTGTCAACTAAATAAACAAAATATTTAAAACAAACAAACAAAAAACTAAGGTTGCTTCATCAAGAATGTTTTGCTTCCTGATGTACAACGCTACACAATGTTGCTGGAGAAAGGGTGGGCATAACTGGTATATTCTAGCACTAACAAAAATTTGGAGTAAGTTCTAAGGTTCCCGAGGCTCTGAAAAACAATCATTACTAACATTTAGTATTTATATTTTCCTTAATTCCACAGAATAGAGATGAAAGGAATCCATAAAAGGCTTAACATGCTATTTGGGGCAACACGAATAATAGGAAGACTGGTATAACTGTGAATATGTCTTCTTGGGATTTGTGTTCCCGTATTGCCCCAAGTGGAGAAATAAGTATCAAAGATCTCCTTTCTCCAACAGAGACAAATCTGTCTTTTAAAATATTTTCCCTTCATCTTTTGAAATGTGTAAAGCTAAAAATTTCACCCATTTTTTCCCCCCTGCAGAACATATTTACTTTTTTTGTATGACAGATGAAAACGTCACTGACCACCCGTGTCATACAATCAGAGGACAAGTTTGCTAAATTCTCAATGCTCGGGTTTTTGAGTTCAAGGTCCTGATTTAAAAAAAAAAAAAACAAAAAAAAAACAAAAAAAACTATTTTGCCAACTTTATTTGTTCTTAAACAAAAATTCATTTCAGATACACGACTTTGTCATCTTTTTTTTTTTTTTAAGGTGCAAAGAAACCCAAGAAGAAAAGGGTATACCTACCTCGTGATATTTTTTCGTGACTTTGCTTGGGACACATTGACACTCCTTGCAATTGTGGGGACAGCAGGCACAGTTCCCACCACAGCGTTTAACCAGGAGACAACCTGGCCAGAAAATGCTGTCGGTTCTCTTTAGCTCTTCCCTTATGGACACTGAGAAGTTACGCGGTGTGCAGCTGTAGAGTCGTACCTCCTCCTTTAGAAGGTTCAGGTCCACCACTACATGGCATAAAAGAAAGCAAAGAAAAATAACATGGTTATGCCCTGAGCCTGAATCTGCTTCATCAAGATCTTTCCATAGAGAAATCTGTTTCACCGACACTATGCCCAACAAGGCCTCTTCTTACTTTGATGAGGTTTTGGGGCTCTGCCGCTCGCAACTTGGACTTTTCATTTTATAGTCAACAAAGGTTCATTATGTCGTACTGTCCATTAAAGAGGTGCCATTGTGCAGTGTTAAGAACAGAGCCAACAGAACAGTTGAGAGCTATAAATAGGAAACTTTATACAGAGAAAGAGTGCTACACCTTTTAACCCTCATAAAAAAGTAAACAAGGAGAGCATTGGAAGGGAAGAGTAGAATGTAAAATGATGAATGCTTGGATTAGAAAACAAATGCAATTTTTAAAAAGGATTAGAAGCTCAGGCAATTAATGAAGAACAACTTACAGAAACTTACTGCCAGGACTTTATATAATTTTTCTGGCTATGAGACTCAGAAAATGCAAAAAGGGCATGAAGGAAATGAATTTTTGAGGACAACTGAGTAGAACATGAATGAAAAAAATGATACACTTTAAAAGGGCTGAGGTTGCTGAAGACCCCTGCTTCCGGTGCCCTGAGTAATTTTCATAGCATTTGAAATTCAGTTTAACTAGGCGCCTTCAGATTTCTATTCTTCTCCTTCTAAAGGATAGAAAAGATGTCTAGTTTATAATGATTGTCTCTATTTTTTTTAGCAAGTTGGTTAACTATGTAGTGTTTTATTCTTGAAAAGTATACCTACTTGTGAAGACAAAACAAAAATATTCTTTCATCAGACTGTTGTAGTGAATTCTTAATCATTGCTTTTAACTACCAAATGATACTTTCCTCAGTTAATTTATATAAAAATAGCATTTCATATTTAATATGAATTTATATAAAACGTGAATAGTACTTAATTACCATATCCTGTAATTTTAATTTCTGCTTTATAACTTTGCCCCTTTTTCCCTAGAAATATTCAAATAATAGCAATTCCAATAAAACTGAAGAGTTTTGGATAACATACAATTCATCAAAACTTTTTCTTCAAAAAAGAAGATTTTATTATTTATTTGACAGACAGAGAGAGATCAAAAGTAGGCAGAGAGGCAGAGCGTGGGGCGGGAGGGAAGCAGGCTCCCCGCTGTGCAGAGAGCCTGGTGTGGGGCTTGATCCCGGGACCCTGAGATCACGACCCAAGCCAAAGGCAGAGGCTTAACCCACTGAGCCACCCAGGTGTCACCCCAAAAGGAAGATTTTATTAAAATTTGAAATATTATCTAATAGAATAAATCTGGTTAAATACCTTTTCACTAATATTGGAAACATTATAAATAAGAACTGAAAAAAAAGAAGCATTTTCTGGCTAAGGATGGCTTCAAGTAATAATAAGCACTATGTACTCCAGTTTCAAAATTCAAGTGTTAATATTTGAAAATAATTTTAAAATGAGAATGTGATTAAGAATCAAATGCTTGTTTTCTTATTGCTTGTTTTACAATTCTACATTTACTTATACGTGTGATCAAGTTTTTCTAAAATGTCAAAGGAAGCCACTGTATTTTCAAGAAATGTATGGTAAATCATACATGTGCAATTGTAAATTATAAGCACAAGTCAACTATAGGGTTGACTAAAACCTTGGTCAAGTGTAGGGAAACGCTAAAGAAATGCTCATTCCATGGGTTCATTTCAACTACTTATTTAGCTAAAAAATTGTTTCCCAACTCAATAGAAAATCACTGTTTTGAGTATTTAAAGATTTCCCTTTCATCTGAAAATGATCCTGTGAAAGGAAAGCTTTTAAATATTTAAGAGGAAATGAGTTCATTCTTTTGTGTGCCATAAAAGACCAACTTATCTCTAAAAAAGTAATGAGATAATTGAGTTAAATGATGTCACATATTTTACCTGGTTTCCTTTGGCTGAACTAATAGTCTATGTACATACTGCTCTGTAATTGCTAAAGCTATTTGTGAGTTTATCTGAATCTTTTCTCTAGAAGTTACTATCTGGGCAAGAAGGGTTTAGAAAGTCAAAAACACACATACAATACAAAAGCCAGTTGCCAAAATTTTCAATGCTTATTTAAGATTTATACCTCTTTAGAATGTGAATGAAGCTCTCCGCTTTCAAAGGATATTCATCTACCTCAGTTTTAAACACACTATTTCATGAACTAGAAAATGAGACTGTATATGTTCACTTTAAAATGTTTACTTAACCACAATAAAAGGTTAGACAGATTTCCCCAGTGAACTGAGTTATGATACCTGCTACAATGTGAAAATTTAAACACACTTGCAACTTAGCTTCCACTCATTTATCATGTTTGACACAACAGTCAAAAGCCCTTTTTAAGTACTGTGTAAGCCTGACTTAGAAAATAAGGTCTTTTCTTTTTCTGCAGTAGCAAGGTATGAATGAAAACCCTAAGTCAGAGGAAGAAAAGGAAAGAAACAAAACAAAACAAAATAAAAACACTGAAAAACCCAAACGCAGTGCACACTGCAATTAGGGATTTTCAGTTTGGGATATCTTATTTGAAATATAAGCTTCCTACTCCTAAGGCTTCAAGCTCATCTAAGCCTCATTAAAATAAGTCATCTGACTATAATTTGATGTCACAAATTCTCCAAAAATTGTACAGAACTTCTGCATAAGAAAAAAGAAAAAAAAAGATCAAAAAAGAGAAAGAAAGATCACGTCCAACACATATTTTTTTCATAACCTAATTATAGTCTTATGGTGGTTTCCCTGTGTAAAATATCAGTGTTTGGGTTCTTTCTTTCTTTTCCGTAACTACTTCCTAAGACAACACATGGATTAGTTTGTCTCTCTAAAGAATGAACATTTTGAGTAAGGCACCCATTAAAGTCGTTTTCCTAATGCAGATTTTCTTGTTCAGATTCACCAATATTGCAAGTTCTACTAAAAAAGCTAATGCGGACTGAAAAAAAAAATAATGGGTACATTTTCCTTCCTTAGTTGCTTACTCTTTTAAGATATTCAGCTCAAGGATATTCTATTACTGTAACGCAATCTGAGGGTGGTCTCTGTAAGATGAATGTCGTAACACTGTGATATGTTTATTCTGTGGAAAATCAATTTCGATGTCTAATTAGGAGCTTTTAAACGTTTTACTCCTTGTTCCTTTGTAGAAAGACTCTCGGGAGGGGAGTTAGTTTTGTCTATAGAGATGTTATCCCACACCTGCATTTTAGTTTATGTAGAGTTCCAAAAATATACACTGCTTTTCTCACACTTACTGTATGCTTAAAAAGTTAATAGTTTTGGCAAACTGCAAAGGGCTTCAATTTGGAAAGTGCTAAATGAATATTTGAAAGATCTGGTTCGGTGCTGGATGCTTTTAAATATATGCTAGCCTCTGGCCATATTGTCACTGAGCACCAGGTGGAGAGGTGTGGGTCCTAAAGGCATGGCTGGGAGGGAGATTTTTAGACTTGAATCCTGAGATCAGCTGTCAAAAACAAGATCTGAGCTTAGAACCTGGTTTACTCCCTTGGCCTCTTCCAGATCAACGTGATTATCTACCTCAAATCTAACAAAGGCTCCATTCACAAGGGTTTCAGCTAGCCTTGCAGATCTTCGTTTTCCTGTTCCTAAGTGGGAGGGAAGGGAAGTGTTCGTAAGTTATTCATCAAGTTATTCATCAAGATCAAATCTTATAAATATGTAACAGCTTTCAGCATCTGGACAGGATTCGGCTGCCCATGTACTTGAACACCAATTTCAAATATTGCTGAAAGGAAACCACGTCTGTTGGCATAGCAAAATACTGTGGTTGGGCAAGTCTGGACATGACCTGCTGAGATTAGAGCTCTTGATCCAGAAGGGCTGCAACTCCAGCAGGAAAGGGCAGGAATCGGGTTTCTTTCTGACAGGATTTAGAAGAACGAGTCTGGTGCAATCTGCCCTTGGGAATTGCTCAACCTACCTAAACATCGTTCCTTCCATATAAATTCTCCAGACTGTCATTCCATTCTCTAGAGTGACCCTGGGTAGACTGCAATGTTTCTGAGAGCCTGAAATGGACTTTTTGAGGGCATTATAATTAGCTAGTTATTTCTATTACTGTTTCGTTTGTGCCTGATATGGATACTTTCCAAACTTAATGTTACTGGAAAAATTAGCTAACCTTAGGGAAGACTCGGTTAACGTTATTTCCAATCTCTTGATCATACGGAATTAAGTTTAATTATCAACACTTTTACTCACTTTTACTCTTGGAGGGAGATAGGCTTATAGGGTCAAGTGATCATTTCAGAGGCAAATTTATAGAGAGAACAATTATCATGGTATGGGTACCCTTCGGTCATTCTTTTCTTGTTCTGGATCCTGTCCTGGAAACTCCTAGTTCTATATTATGATGAGCCACTGTTATTTTCCATATTATTTATAGAAGTCTGTAGGCTTAAGAGATGGAAATTGATATAACCCTGACCATCGGGGACATGGTAGGTGACGATTTTTATTTCTCTCCCTTTTCTAAGGCCCAAATCTGGTTAGCAGCTAAGGTAATCTCTCTTGAATCTCTAAATCAATATACCCCAAATATTAAATGTGAATAAGCAATGATTCTCATGAAACATAACAGGGGACTTCATCAAAATGGTATTTTTGAATTAAAGAAATGGCAAGAATTTTCAGCAAAAGTATTCCTTTTAATCTTCTAAACCCCCTGAATTATAATTACTTCTTTTTATATGCATCCTTATTTAGTGTGTAAATATGCCCAAATGTTACAACGATGGGCTATTTACACATATCATGGAAGAATTTTAAACTCTACTCCTTTGAAGCTGTGATAGAAGGATCCAAAACACTAAAATTGCTAAGAAAATTACTAGGGGTTGGTTCTAATCTGAAGAGAAAACTTACCTCTGGATTTTCTTCCAAAAACAAACGCCTTGCCAAGAAGTTGCCAGGTTGGCCTATATAGATCTTCCAAGTCCAACTGCCACCTGTCTGGTTCAAGATACCGAATGAGATCTTCCAAGGTACTGAAGGCAGTGACAGCGTTATTAAGCAGATCCAGTGGCAAAGCTGAAGGCGGTAACACAGAAGGGCTCACAGCTTCTGTGAATTGCTGAAAGTAAAATGAATCTTATGTTAACTGTTTTAAAAATGACAGTGTATGGGGTGCTGGGTGGCTCAGTGGGGTAAAGCCTCTGCCTTCGGCTCAGGTCATGATCCCGGGGTCCTGGGATCGAGCCCCGCATTGGGCTCTCTGCTCAGCAGGGAGCCTGCTTCCCCCTCCCTCTCTCTGCCTGCCTCTCTGCCTATTTGTGATCTCTGTCTGTCAAATAAATAAATGAAATCTTTAAAAAAAAATGACTGTATTTCTTCTGGACTTAGGCATGAAGTAAGGTAAACTGAGGCTAAAAATGCAAAGAAACTGAAATTGTATTCAACCCAAATCAGAACTAATTTTTTTGCAAGTTCATGTAGATGAATTCCAATAGATCTTTGTGCAGTCAGTGAGAAAGACATTAACCTTCATTATCACAAACCATGGTGGATGTGGATATCTGATGCTTAAATAAAAAGGAAAATGTCTCTATGGTTCAATTAGGGACTTACAGTGGAAATTATAACACCATTTACCCAATTTTTCTTTTGTTTTTCACTTTTTATTTTCCTCCATCTGGAAAATCACCAGGTAGTTATGCAGATGAGTGTCAGACAAATTAAAAATTTAATATAAAATAATTAATCCATGAAGAATTAGAACAAAATATAGGCAATAAGCCTTTCTCGTTGGAGAAGAATTTGTTAGTCAAGACGGAGAACACCCAAACCATAAAAAATAACTTTGATACATTTGCCCATACTTTTTTTAATAAACAGGATTAAAAGACAGACACTGGGAGAATGGCCTGACGAACGACATGACTGTCACAGGACGAGTGTCCAGCATATACAAAAACACCCAACAACTCAATAGAGAGTGGGCAAATTCCAGACAAGAGGCTTAAGTGGCCAGTCGACATATAAAAGCATGCTAAAATCCATTAGTTATCAGAGAAATGCAAAACAAAGTGAGGTCTTATTTCACATACAAAAAAGGAGATGTTACTATCTCACGTATGTGATATTGGCAACGATTTCAAAGAAAAGGACTGCCAAGGATGTGGGTAAATTGGAATTTCTCTATTCTGCCTGCAGAAGTGAGCATAAATTGGTACAACCACTTCAGTTGATTTAATGGATGTACACAGGATATATAGATAAAAGATTTATATGACCCCTGTCTCTGCAATTCACTTTTGAGGCTCACATACTTTTATTTGTGCACATGGAAATATGTGCAATGATATTCATTACAGTGTTGTTTGAAATAGAGAGAAATACAAAAAATCTAAATGCCAAGGTATAGAGCAAGAAATTAAAATACATAATTTTAAATGGTTAGCCACAAATGGGCAATAATTTCAATGAAAGTTCAATGGCAAACCTGCCCCCACAACCATTAACTTTTAACAAACAGACTAAAGGTAGGGAGTGGTAGATCAGAACTGAAATCAAAATAGGCGGAACAAATACATGAACAGATGCTCAACTTATTTTTTTATTACTTATTACTTTTATTTATATTACTAACTTTGCAGAGGAGGGGAGAGGACAAGCGTGGAATAGGAAATTTATGTCATGTTCATTACAGTAGTATTTACAATAACAGAAACTTGATAACAAATCTAAACTTACAATATTGGAACAGTTACTTGCACTGTACTCAAACTGAAATGGCGTACAGTCATGAAAAATGAGGTCCTTCAAGAAGTTTTATCAACAAGAGAAATGCCTACAATGTAGAAAGTGACAAAAACATCCCCAAGCTATATAAATATGCCCCGATTCAATATACATAAATATAAGACATACATGTCCTATTTTTAACATTTTTATAATAAATAGTTTCCTTTTAGAGATCCAATAAAAGTTATAACATTTGTTATAATAATTTAAATAACTATCATGTAAGCTCTTCCTTTCATCCTGATTACTTGGATCCTGGGCCAGATACTGGAAACAATGTACTATTTATAGCAGCAGCTAACTCTGTTGATCTGCTTTTAGTCTTTCCTTATTCCTTTTATTCTCTGCTGCATAACACTGGGTTAATCTACCTAAAATAAGTTATCACTGATCATGTGATGAATCTGGACAAATGCCTAGAGTGATTTCTCATCTGGAGGATAAAATCCAAATTCCTTACCCTGCACTCAGGATCCTCACAATCTGACCTCTGCTCAACTTTCCCATCTAATCCTCTACTCATCAAAGACATGCACATTTTGTTCCAATCAATCCAGTCTCTTCACTAACTACTGCACATGTCATACTCATCGCAGACCTTGTTCCTCTACCCATGTTAAATACGGCTCCCCTTCCCCAAATGCAAAACCCTCCCTCCTTTGATCCAGACAGTGAATCTTTGCCATTTATAACGGTCTTTCTCGAAACATGATTCATCCATGAAAATTTCATTAATAACAGGGCCATCGTTGGCCATATATCTCAATTGTGTCAATTTGAAAAAGATCTCCTTTCTGGGCTATCCCGTGGGCACATGGTTTGAAAAGCAGAAGCTGCCCTGTCAATTAGAAAGTGAGCCAAAAAAAAAAAAAAAAAAAAAAAAAGGACCACTGTTCTGTGGGGCAGGCATAACCCCTGCTGGGCCTCATAGCTTTAAGGGTGCAGAGTCCTCTCTGCCCACAGGAAGGGAAGCATTTTTATACAACATAATGAGCAGAAATCAATGTGGCAGTCTTGGGTCAAAGCGGATTTCACTCTTAGTGTAAAGATCTAATATCAAGAGTCTGGCTAAAATATTATTAGCACTAAGATGTTTTTAATTATTCTATCCAACTTTTTAGAGTAGAAACCAAATGTAATACATTTCTATTTACTCCCAGTATTTTTTTAATTGTCCCAGAAATACAAAATTGCTTTGATAGAGAGTACTATTACAGTTGATAACTATATTATGGATATAAATAAACAATTATCTAATAAAAGCTTTCACTGTTAATTCAACCAATTTGATAATACTGATTAAATTTATAATGTGAAAAGGTTAATGCAAATGTTTTGCAAATTTTTAAAAGACAGACCAAAATGTATGTTTATATAAAGTGAAAATGAAGGGTCGGTAATACTCAAAGAATAACTGAGTTATTACTCATGACTATGACGATATAAAACAAATCAAATGTCTCATGATCTGCACACGGAGAGTAAACGTAGAAAGCTAAAACAAAAATATATTCTTCATTAAAATGTCAGAGTGCAGATGTATATTTTAGGTATGATATTAAATTGTTATTTAAGTTATTTTCAATTAGACTATAATCCAAGTAGGGGTTGGCTTATTTTGTTTCCACATTTTTTTAAGAGTCTCTGCATAGAGCATTACTTTTGAAGCAATGAAAAGTTCCAACTGAAACCAACATTGCTGAGCTAAAAGTTCGAAGTATTTATACAAAAGAAAGTGAAACAAAATAAGCCTGTAATAGCAAACAAATAAAATACGCACACCTTGGACTCAATGAAATATTAGAATATCAATCTCCTGAAAGGACAAAGATCGGAAGAACACAATTTAGCATACATTACCGCACACATATATTGGTCGATTTTCAACTTACTATTTTCAATTTACTATTTCAACTTACAAGTTTCTAAATATTTAAATTGAAATAGGATGTTTTTAAAAAAGGTAACAATACACACATACACGCATACACACATGCACACACACACACACACACACACACACACAGCAGTCCCCACCCCAAAACTGGAGGGGATAATCAGCTTGCTTCCTCTGGATTCTAAGAATCAATCTTTCTAAGAGAAAGCAGTGCTTTCATTTAAGAGCTTTCTCATGACTCTTAACCACGCCCACTGGTTCAAGGAACCACCAAGCTGTTAACATTTGTAGTTCTGCTTTTCTAAGACCTCTAAAGGGATTCTCAGAGAAAAGGGGGAGCAATGGAAAAAAGAGGTCAGAGGGGGAAAAAATGCCCTCTGATATTTTTAAGTTTTAATTTTTCTTCTAACCAAAAACTACTTTTAGTCGAAGTCATAGCTCTTTCTCTGAAATTGAGTGTCTAAAGAATTCCAACAATATCTTTTGTATTTAAAAATACTTACGCTGGGCTAAGTGCTGTGGGTTGAATTGGATCTGCACATTCTCCACTTCCTCTCTCTTCTATTCACCAACCCATAACTTATTACTAAGTTATGGGTTGCCCTAAGGCTATTTGGTGGATGATAATGGTCAGTAATGGAAGGCACAGTTTCCTGGTGTTCTGTCACGTAAACTAAATCAGCCCCCTTAGTGGGCCAGGAAAAAAAACTTTCCTGCCATTACGTGCAGGGTAGCAGTGACAACCTGGTGGTTGTCTAGTTCCAGCCTAGATGTTCAGGTATGTCACTTGGAGGGACAGAGGGTGAAAGGGCAGGAGGAGATCTGAAATCTCTATGCAATGAAGTGACCTGTCAGATAATGCATTTTAAAAATATCAAGGTCGTGTACTAAGAAGGGTCCTAGACATAAATGAGGTCTTCTAAATTTCTTGGCGAAAATCATTCTGAATGACAGTATGACATGGGAGAAGAGCCCTCATCAAGGGTGAGTGTCTAGACTCTAATCCTGGAGCTGCTCAGATTTAGGGAAGAGCATTGAGGGAGATATGATAACCCCTCTGAGCCTCAGTTTCCTCCTCTGTAAAGCAACAGCTGCTAAACTCAGTTACCTTTAAGTTTCTTTCCAGGTTTCAAATTTAAGAATTCTATATAATTGTCAGATACGAGAGGGTTCATTTTCTCCACGTCCTTGCCAATACTCATCCCCTGTCCTCCTGACAGCCATTTTAATAAGTGTGATATCTCATCATGGTTTTGATTTGTTTCCCTGATGATGAGTTATGTTGGGCATCTCTTCATGTACTGTTAGTCATTTGGATGCTTTGAAAAAAACCATGTCTATTGAGATCCTCTGCCCATTTTTTAAAAAAAAATCAGTTTGTTTGTTTGGTTTTGGTTTTTGAACTGTATGAGTTCTTGCTGTATTTTGGATAT